TTCAAAAGGTACAAAATAGGACAGAATTCAGACTCATTGTATTTGAAACCTCTCAAGTGTTACTTAACATACCATCTCTTTCACTACTAGCTTTGAGTCTTTCCCAGCATCAAAATTCCCCCCAAATGCTGCTCTGTCACTTTTCTGTGATTTCTTCCACATTGATTCCACCCCTGAGTGGCTGTTAGGTTCACAACTCATTTTAGAGTTGTAGGACTGAGGTATCTGTTCCTAAATCCCTCCTCATTTTTCTTTGCAGTGTTCATTTTCCTTCCCCTATTTTTTATCAGCCCTTTTCTCTTTCTTTTTATCCTTTGTTTTGGTTGCCATGCTCAATAGCCTGTCTGTAAGTCTGCCACTGTTTGTTAATATCATTTTGCTTCCAAATTGAGCTGGTGGCTAAATATCATTCAGGATAATGATGTTAGAACTGTCTGTGTTAGAAAGGGGCACAGGAATCTTGCCACTAGGGCCCAGACCTCAAAACTGACTGTTGTTGCAAAGCTGTGAGTCAGCAGGTATTTGTGGCTGCCATTCTCAACCAATATTTTGTTGAGTACTTGCTATGAGCGTGGCATCTTACCTGGCCAGCACCTGGGTTCCAAAGGCAAGTGGGTATGCCAGGCAGAGAAGGAATGATTAAGAAGACCTTGGAAGGCAGGACTAATGTGGTCCAATGGTCAAGGAACCTCATTTAATTCCTGGCATTCTGGTCCATGCCAACCTCTTTCTGCCCTTGTGATTATGCCAGCTGAGAAGTGGGGAAGGGAAGATGAACTTTGGTGTGCTGTGAGTTTTTCTGTCTAGCAGTGTCTGTCAGGTTCAAAATGAGAGGGAAGGAGGCCAGAGACCTTCCAGATGGAGAGTTCAGAGGAGGGCACAACCAGACTCCCTTGCCACAGTGACGTAGCAGGGCCATCTGAGCATTGGCCCAGGAGCCAGAGGAGCACAGGCTGCTGCCTGACCCTGCAGTGGAGTCTGGCAGAGCAGTCACTCTTGGCTTTGGGCGGGAATTTATTCAAACCGGCACACGAAGGCCATGTGGTGGAGGCACAGCATTTATCCCAAGGGCTGCGGCTGTCTGCTTGGAGGTTTTGCCCTTCATCCTGAACTCCTTTTAAGAATGCACTCCCCAAGTCATTTGGGCAACTACAGAAACCAAATGAGGAGCTGGTGTTCTCCAGCCTCTCTGTTTCTTTCTTTAGAATGAGTCAGCCATGTAAGAAAGGTGACCTTGATAAGCTGGGGGCAATAGTTGCCCAGTGGCTATACATCCTTGGGTGGACAGCATGTGGACAGCAGTTCCAGGCAGCAGAGGATTGGTGAGGACACAGTGCACTTACAGTCACTTTCCACACCACTTGGTAGCTCAATTTTGTAACTGGTTTTAGCATTTATTGAAGAGTGTTTAGTGTGGGTGCTCCAGGAACAGGCCTATACTCAAATGAGAAATGTTTTTCAGACTAAGGCTATCTGAGGTCTATGTAATGATGGCATGACAACAGATGAGGTTAAACACTGAACATCTGGTTTGACCTTCTTTAAAAATGGATTATTTTAATATTGTGTCTACACAACCTCCATTTCTCTGTGAGATGACACTCTTTTTCTCAGTCTCAGGTTATATTAGAGTTTGGGGACAGCCCATGCTTTTGGGAGCAGAGCTATCTGACTTGAAATGTCATCCCATTCTGAGAAAACATACTGAGGCCACGTTAGTGCATCCCTGAGCAAATGTCACATTGTCAGAGTGCCTCCCCTGGGATTAGAGCAGCCATGGTAGTTCCCAGTCCTGTCTGTCTGGTCCAACAAAGCCACTGACTTTTCACAGTGAGGTCGCCAACCCCGCCAAGGTCATGCTCACTGAGATTTCATGGAATTTGATTTGTCTTTAGCTCTCTGAATTTTAAATTGCTAATTATTGGATGATTGGTATTCTTCTCAGATGTCACCTAATGATTTTCCAGAGCTCATGCTACTTGGAAAATTTACTTTTCCAATGCCTGGCAAATATAACAGCATTGAACAGGTGTGGAGATAGTGTGTTGTGTTTGCATGTGTGTACATCTCAGGCCACAGAACTGTAGGCTTCCATAGAAAGAGACCTTTATATCTCATGAAAGCCTAGAGGACAAATACGAAAGGGAAAAAACATAAAAAACAAAACTCACCCTAGCTTAAGAATTCTCAATGTTTTCAATTTTAACAGTAATGTAAACTTAAGTATTCTTTTATTAAGCAAATATTATTGAATGTACCTTTTGTGCCAGAGGCTGTGGATTCAATAAGGAACAAGATAGATGTGGTCTGTATCTATGCCAAATGTATGGTCTAGGAAAGACTTTCACATACATTTTGACAACATCAACAGTTTCCAGACAAATAACAAAACTAAGAATTATTCTGATCACCTCTCTGAACCCTAGATATATCAGAGTTTCACTAATTCTGAAAATACTCCATAAGAATTATATAAAAATTGATATAAAACTTTTAGGAATATATCTGAGAGTGTCAGGTTTCTGGGGAGTCTTTGCTGCTTTTTCTTGTGAGGATTTAAATCAGTATGCAGATTCTCAAATCCCTGTGTTTAAAACATTCATTCATCATTAAGTGGTTTAACCAGGGGTATGTTTTCCAACTGCCTGGTTTTCACCAATATGTAGACAGAGATTTAAGAGCCTTCTGTTATTGAAAATTGGCTATCATTTGAAAGAATGTTGTAATAATTTGTCTTCAGTAACAGCTCACTGACCATAGCATAAGAACCAAAAAGAGGGATGAATTTATTCAGTGTCTTCATTCTTGTGGCTTGTATTCATTCCTGAGGAATGGGCTTCTTTCCTGGGTATGTAGATAATTGTTAAAGACTTAAAGGTCAATAACCAGTCTCTGAACATGCCCATCAAGTCCAGCTAGGGCTACAGAAAACAACAATGTAGGTGAATCCCTGGCTCCTGGCAGTGTTGTTGTAGATAAGGTAACAGGTTATCAGAGACAAGTTTCAGTTGGGAGAAGATGAATCTCACTCAAAAGATGTTTCTATATTTGAGAAAGATGTTGCTTCAAATTAGGAATTATTTTTAAGGGAGCTGGGGCTGGATAATGGAGTGAGAGACTTGGGGTTGTAAAACATTTTCTCAGTGACTATCTTCTAAAAAACCAAGGGGACCAATCAGTGTGTTACTGGCCTATACTGCTCTGCTTCCATGTTTGTGTCTTTTTGGACAGCTGAAGTCCAAACCTATTTGGGTTCATTTGAACCTAATCTATGTCTTGCAGAAGGTCACATAAGGGTTACAGAGTCTGTCTGCTTGAGAACAAAATGTTAGGCATGAGGGGAGTGGCAAGTGGTGTAACACATTGTAGCTTCAGGTGAAAATATTTTCATGGCCTGTAGAAGTTTAGGGTCTTGGATTTTTCACATCAAGGCAAACATAGGAAAGGAAGTACTAGTTTGAGTGGCTCTTACTGACTTTTGCCCAGAGAGATAGGTGCTTTGGTATTGGAACAAGAGTTTTCTGATCCTGGCCTGCTCTTGCATTGAATACCAAGCACACATACAAGGACAAATGTTCAAGCACTAGAGATATATACAAAGACTGTAGAATCCACACTTGTTCTTATTTATTCAACAAGTATTTATGGAATGACTCTTTGGTATTGGTATAGAACCTGGGGCTCATAATGAATGAATAAGGTGAGGTTGGTTTGAACCATAAAGGCCATAGGTTTCCAGGAGTTTAGACACTAATTAAGGTGATAAAACATATAAGGAGAAAGTAATAATTTAAGACCATATTATGCATGCCTGTTTCAGGTCTTATATGATTAAGGTGAGGCTGAAGCTGTTTTAAGACCAGTCCCCCTACCTTTCCTTTTCAACTTTCTGGGGACCTTTAGTGCCCTTTCCCACTGTTCTGCTTTCAGATTCTTTCTCTCAGCTGGATCCTCTCAACACCTTGTCACATGCGTAGATTTTTTTTTTCTGTTTACAAACCACATGAAGAAATACCCTTTCAGTCCTTTTTCCTGCTCTAGTTGCTATTCATTTTCCTCCCCTTCATTTCCTGATTGTCCTTATTTACCTTCATTTTAATGATTTTCTCTTATATTTTCACAAACTACAAACTGAATTCTGTCTCAATCAGTCCACAAAACAGTTCTCAATGAGTTGCTCAGTGACCTTTGTGTTGGGCATTTTTAGTACTTATAGCACTTGACCTTTCTGTGACATTTGTTTTTGTTTTACTTTTCTTGCAACTATTCTCTCTCCTATATGGTATTCATCCTTCTGGGCATATCTGTTAAATGTTGAACTTCCTCAAGGATCAACTCAGGCCTCACTTCTCTTCCTACTTTCTACTTAGAGATAACTCACCAATTGAAAAACCTCCTCTCTGAGTTCAAAACACATGTATACTTTGTATATTAGCAAAAACGTAGTACATACAGGGTGCAGTACTATATGTGGTTTCGGGTATCACCTGGGGGTCTTGGAATGTGTCCCCTGGGATAAGGGTAAAGGGCACTGCTGTACTCATTGAGCAGGTGGTAAGGTCTGGATTGGAGGGACCATGCTCATCATGTAAATGGAATGGGATCCCTCAAGTAAATGGAAATAGACTGTGCAAGAGAGATGTCACTAAAAGAAATAAGAAAATAAAGTGCTTAGTCAGAGGGAGTGTCCTGCATAACGTTTCATTTGATTTTCATCTCTACACATCCCATTCTGTTGAATTCACATCCCAAAAGATTTGAGTGTAGATCTGGCTAGGTTTGTGTGCTTCAATTCTGGTAGATGTGTGTGCTGTTTTTAGTTTATGACTCTGTCTTTTATTGGCCTCTTGTGTGGTAGATATGAGGCACAAGTTTTATAAATGCTTTATTTGGCTTGAACACACACCATGGAATATGGAAATTCTACTTAGAGACATGGAGAGAAAATGTTTGGTGTTTTATGCAGATAACTCAGTGCTTTCATTTTTATGTCTTTGCAGCTTTGAAGCTCAGCGAAGAAGGGAATCCATTGAGAATAGTCTGTAAAGGTAAGTGTATTTATTGCATGGCCTTGGCAAACATTGCCTTTACAACATTGATTTTACTTTTATTCAGAGATTTAAACACTTGGATTAAAAATATAGTTGACAGGACAACTTCCTTAACCACCTGTTTGTCCTCCTTCATAGGCAGAAGTGCTGAGCAATAGTTAGCAGAGAACAGGAGGAAATAAAATGATGTGCTGAGGGTACCCAAATTCAATTGTATGCTTGCTGACTTTTGCTTTCTTCACAGCATTTAAGGCATTTCAGTGGAGCTAAGTTTACTAAGATTAATGCTAGATGGATAAAGAATGCACTCGTACCACTTTTGGTCAATAGTTAAATAAAACCAGCTGGCCAGATAAAGCATTTAAAATGAAATGCAGAGTGGCATTTCAATTGGGTTGGACGAAATTTATCATGAAAGTCAGTTTGTGCAGTGTGTGGAGAAGCTAGTTTTGTAGAATAAAGCCAGCCAGTTTGGTGTAGCTAATTTCATTCCACCCAGTCACAGTGGACCCTAAGTGAGTTATAGGAAATGAACTTCCAAGTTCACAGCAATGGGAAAAGTACCTACTCAGCCTCCTGTGAAACATTACAATCGAGTTGATTTTTACATGGAAAATGTAATTGTTTCCTCTTTGCTAGGTATATTTATATGCATACTGCTGTATAGCATTGTTCTTTGATTCATTGTTTAATTTCTGTTCCGCATGAAGTATTTTAATTTAAAGAATTCATTCTGGGGAATTAAAGGGCTGCATTTTCGTCGAGAGTCTTTGGTGGCCATGATGAAATATACCATAATTTTACCTTTGTTTTCATCATCAATTATGTTTTTGACAATTTTAGGTTTTTTAATGTCATTTTTATTATAGCAGTCATGACTACGACCACTTTAGTTAAAGTTGAAAAACCATTTGATTTACCTTATATTTTAAGTTATTCCTAACTTTATGACAAATCTACTTCTGGGGCTGAATTTTCAATGTTTATTTTGAGGATGAAAAAGTATTTTACAGGGAACTTGGAGAAAGCCTTTTTTGAATAATCAAAACATGAGCTATAAAAACACTCTTTTGAGGATTTGCTTTTGGATAACTTAAGTCCGGTGCATGAAAGCTACTTGGCTTGGAATTTTCCTGCAATGGTTGGGCACTAGTAAAGAAAAACTGAGTTAAGAAGTAGATAATTTTTATTTTTAGCTATATAACTTACATATCTTTGGACCAACGAACCCCATCTTGGAATAAAACATACTTGAAAACTTAGAAAAGGAATTCTCATTGGTTATCAGAGTTAGTGATGAGGCAGTAACATTTAGAACCTTGAGATCTTTAGGTATGGTTATGGTACTCACATTCCTCATGGAGGGTCTTTTCATACCAGTAAAATTCATTTCTTCTACTCTTAATGAAAATCCTTGGTTAAATTAGTATTCTGGAGACAGATATGGATTTAGTCCCAGTTTGACTTTTTAAAATTGTTTTTCAAGTATAGTTGTCTTCATTTTCACTGCTCTACTTGCCCCAACCCTACCCATCCCCACTCCTGCCCTCAATCTTACCCCTTTGGCTTTATCCATGTGTCCTTTATACATGTTCCTTGATGACCCTTCCCCTATTTCCTCATTATCTCTCTCCCCACTCCCCTCTGGTTACTGTCAGTTTGTTTTTTATTTCAATGTCTCCAATTATATTTTGCTTGCTTGTTTATTTTGTTGATCACATTCTGCTAATAGGTGAGATCATATGGTATTTGTCTTTTACTGTCTGGCTTAATTCACTTAGCATAATGCTCTCTAGTTCCATCCATGCTGCTGCAAAGGATAGGAGCTCCTTCTTTCTCTCTGCTGCATAGTATGCCATTGTGTAAATGTACCATAGTTTTTCGATTCACTCATTTACTGGTGGGTAATTAGGTTGCTTCGAGCACTTGGCTATGGTAAATTGTGCTGCTGTGAATACTCGGGGGCATAGGTATTTTTGAATTGTTTTTTCAGGATTCTTAGGGTATAATGCCAGTAGTGCTATTGCTAGGTCAAAAGATAGTTCTATCTTTAGTTTTCTGAGGAAATTCCACACTGTTTTCCACAGTGGCTCTACCAGTCTGCATTCCCACTAACAGTGCTCTAGGGTTCCCTTTTCTCCACAACCTCTCCAGCATTTGTTATTTGTTGATTTGTTTATGATGGCCATTGTGACTGGTGTGAAGTGGTAACTCATTGCAGTTTTAATTTGCATCTCTCTGATGGCTAGTGATGCTGAGTATCCTTTTATATGTCTCTGGGCCCTCTACATGTCCTCCTTGGAGAAGTGTCTGTTCAGGTCCTTTGCTCATTTTTTGATTGGGTTGTTCGTCTTCCCAGAGTGGAGTCATGTGAATTCTTTATATATTCTGGAGATCAAATCCTTGTCTGAGGTATCATTTGCAAATGTATTTTACCATATGGTTGGTTCCGTTTTCATTTTGATAATGGTTTCTTTATCTGTGTAGAAGCTTTTTATTTTGGTGAGGTCTCATTTGTTTATTCTTTCCTTTATATCCCTTGCTCTAGGGGACATATTGGTGAAAATGTTGCTGCGTGGAATATCTGAGATTTTCCTGCCTATGTTCTCCTCTGGAATTTTATGGTGTTGTGACATATATTTAAGTCTTTAATGCACCTCAAATTTATTTTTGTGTATGGTGTAAGTTGGTGTTCAAGTTTCATGTTTTTGCATGTAACTGTCCAGATCTTCCAATACCATTTTTGAAGAGACTATTTTTACTCTATTTTATGTTGCTGCACACTTTGTGGAATATTAATTGACCATAGAGACTTGGTTTATTTCTGGGCTTTCTATTGTGTTTGATTGGTCTATGTGTTCTTATGCCAGTACCAGACTGTTTTGATTACAGTGGCCTTGTAATATAGTTTTATATCAGGTATTGTGATCCTTCCTACTTTGTTTTTCTTTCTCAGAATTACTGTGGCTTTCAGGATGGTTTATGGTCCCATATAAATTTTTGAAATGTTTGTTCTATGTCTGTGAAATATGTTATTAGTATGTTAATAGGTATTGTGTTGAATCTTTAAATTGCTTTGGGTAGTATGGACATTTGATGATGTTAATTCTTCCAATCCATGAATGTGGTATATGATTCTATTTATTCCTGTCTTCCTTAATTTCTTTCTTCAGTGTTTTGTAGTTTTCTGAGTGTAGGTCTTTTATCTCCTTGGTAAGGTTTACCCTAGGTGTTTTTCTTGTTGCTATAGCAAATGGGATTTTTTTTCCTGATTTCTTATTCTGATATTTTATTGTTAGTATATAAAAATGCCTTCAATTTCTGAGTATTGACTTTTTATCCTGCTTTTTGCCAAATTCATTTATTTGGCTGAGTAGTTTTTGGTGGAGTCTATAGGGTTTTCTATGTACACTATAATATCATCTGCAAACAGTGACAGTTTTACTTCCACCTTTCCAATTTGGATGCCTTTTATTTCTTTTTCTTGTCTGATCACTGTGGCTAGGACTTTCAATACTATGTTGAGTAGTAGTGGTGAAAGCAGACAGCCTTCTTTAGTTTCTGATCTTAGTGGGAAAGCTTTTAGTTTTTGCCCATTGAGTATGATGTTGGCTGTAGGTCTCTCATATATGGCCTTTATTATATTGTGGTATGCTCCCTCTATCCCCACTTTGCTGAGTATTTTTATAAAAAATGGGTACAGTACCTTATCGAATGGTTTTCCACATCTATTGATATGATCATGTGATTCTGTCTTTCCTTTTGTTTATGTTTTGTATTACATTTATTGATTTGCTAATATTGCACCAGCCTTGCACTGCTGGGATGAATCTCACTTGATCATGGTGCATGGTCTTTTTAAGGTATTGCCGGGTGAGGTTTGCCAATAATTTGTTGAGGATTTTAGTGTCTATGTTTATCAGTGATATTGTCCTGTAGTTTTCTTTCTTTGTTTTGTCTATCTGGTTTTGGAATTATGATGATGCTGGCTTCATAAAAAGAGTTTGGGAGTCTTCCCTCTTCTTGGAGTTTTTGGAGTGGCCTGAGAAGGATAAGGGTTAGCTCTTCCTTAAATGTTTGGCAAAATTCTCCTGTGAGAATTGTTTTGGTAAAAACATTTCTTAAATGTTTTGGTAAAATTCTGTCTGGTCCAGGGCTTTAGTGTTCAGAGAGTTTTTTGATTATTGCTTTGATTTCATCAGCTATTTTTGGTTTGTTCAGTTCTTCTGCTTCTTCATTCAGTTTTGGAAGATTATATTTTTCTGGAAACTTTTCCATTTTGACCTGGTTTTCAAATTTCTTGGCATATAGTTGTGCATAATAATTTCTTACAATTATTTGTATTTTTGTGGTATCAATTATAATCCCTCATCTTTCATTTCCGATTTTGTTTATTTGGGTCCTCTCTTTTTTTCTTGATGAGTCTTCTTAAAGGCTTGTCAATATTGTTTATGTTCATAACAACCCACTCCTGGATTTATTGATCCTTTGCATTATTCTTTTAGTTTCCAACATAGAAGTCATTCTCTCTAATTTCTGTGGCATGAAATTGTGATGGGACTGAGATTTCTTTCTACTTACTCCAGCATCCCAAAACAAAAGTCTTTCAGTCTTCTTCTACATTTTTCTAAATTTTTATTGCTTTTTGAAAATTTTTCTTGTCCTGCTCAACACCTTCTTTTCAATGACCTGTAAAATGTGATTGAAAACTCAATTAATTTGGTCTCTGGCATTGCTTTTGGTTTCCTGAGAATAGAGTGGCCAAGTTTGCTCTATTTCCCCTTGTGTCTTGTTTGTTGACTGCTTCTGTGTTCTGTGCAGTGCCAAGAACAAAGCTGGCTAATGATTTTTTCACAGGACATCAATTTTGTTCTCCTGTGAATAAGTAGCACAATGGCATTGTATGGTGGAAAGAGCTTTTGCTGAAGTGTTGGGAAACATGCATTCTATCAATAATTTGGGCTCTGCTGCTTGCCAGCTGCTTAAGGTTTCAGGAT